AGGAGGAGGAGGAGGAGGAGGAAAAGGAAGAGGAGGAGGGGGAAGAACAGAAAGGAGGCGAGAAGACGAATCGGCGGGAAGCAAATTGTCGAGGAAACGGGTCCTGGAATTCTCGCTCTCCGCTCCTCGGGCCCCCGGGACCCTCCAGAGAGGGGCCCAGGGCCGTCGAAAGCACGACCCGGGAGGAATACCTATATGCTTAATACGCGTCGGCGCTGAAGCCAAACGGCTGCAGAGCATCCTAGTTGAATCGGGACTGTGCGGGCGATCGAACAGCTTTGGCGGAGACGCAACACTGGAGAAATGGATGCCCGGTAGCTGTCTGGCCTGGCCGCGCGCAGACTGGCGGGAAGCAAGCTCGCCCCTGTCGGGGAGCTCGCTCGTGCTCTTACGGGCGGCACTGGAGGAGCTCACACGAGGTTAGAAGTGGTGCGCGTTCGGCCAGGCCGCATCTGTGTCTGCTTGGTGACCCCAGGCCGCAGACAGGAAGGTCTGCAAGCCTGTCATGATAATCAGGCACAGTGGATGGCCCCCGGGTCACGAGGAGAGCTGCGGTTGAGGCGTGACGACGCCTTGACTGTGTCATGTAGGGGAGGTGAGGGATGGAAGATGACCATGAGGGATGCGTGTTCTTTTTAACTCCGTCGACTCGGGCCTGAGGCTGGGGGCCGCTGCGGCCGCGCTGCATCTTCACCTCCTCGCTGGGCGTGCCCAGGGCGGCACTGCCCAGCGAGGACTTGCGGTCGTCGTCATCGCCAGCTGCTGTGCGCGCCGTAGCCGCGGCCGCGCGCCGGCGCTTCACCTTCTCGCCTCCGCGGCGCACCTTCTTCTTGGGTTTGTCGCCGACGGGCTTGCTTTGGTCCTTGCTCTTGTTCTTGCCCCTGCCCGTGCCTGTCACGACTACTGCTGCTCGCCCGCGAGAACCGATCGGCGCCGCGTTGCCGGTGCGCTGCCAGAACGGGCGCGGCAGGGATGGGCGCCATCCTGATCCGTGGACGGCGTCGCTGCCGCACTCCCTCTGTTGGTCCCGCTGCTGCGCGCCGCGCCCCCTCTCCTTGTCCCGCGGCTGCTCGGGCGGACGCGAAGGGGCCCCCGGCGGCGAGTGCCGCGGAGGCGTGGCCGGCGAGCGCTCGACCCGCGGTGGCGGGGAGCGCGGCCACCTCGGAGCCGGCGCGCGAGGGCCGCTACTGCTGGCGGGCCGCCTATGGGCCGCCTCGCCCGAGCGAAGGCACGGATGCTGACCGCAGCCCGGCCAGGTGCCGAGGTCGACCAACTGCCAGCGCCTGCGGCGCTCGAGCCCTTCCCGAGGCGACCAAGCCGACCACGCCTGAAACAGCGTGGCTCTGAGCGGCACCACGGGCGCGCCGACGGCCTCGTCGGCACCGGCCGGCCGCGCGTCGTTCGCCCGCCCCGCGGCGCGACGGGCCTCGCGGGAGAAGGCAGCGCGCGTCACCGCGTCGTTGGCTCCATGGCCGTGCGACTGAACAGACACCTCCGCGGCAACGCGTCTGGGGCGGGGGCGCTGATGTGCCAGCTCCTGAGGAACCGGTGCACCTCTTCGTCACCTCGCTGCGCGGCGGCCGCTGCGTCGGCCCCCCGCCGAATGCCGCGGCCGGCACCTTGGGCGGAAGAGGCGGGCGCGGAGGTGGAGCTGGCGCAGCCGTGCCGGTCAGCAGCGCGCGCGCGGGACCAGACGTCGCGGCGGCCGAGCGGCGCCGACGGGGCGACGGAGGGCGGCTGCGAGAGCGAGCGGCGGCGGCAACTTGAGGCCGTAGACATCCTCGCTGCACCAGCTGTCCTGCAACGATCCTCGGGGCGTGCCCCTCCTCGACGAGCCTGCCCAAGACGACCCCCCAGTGTCGGCGGTGGCATGACTGGCGGCATTCCTAGCGGCCTCACCACGATTTGCGGCGGCGCCTCTGGGCCGCCAGGCGGAGGGGCGGCGGGCCGAACGCGCTCGCGAGGTGCTGCGCGGCCCCAAGATGCAGCGGGCGCCTCGCCCGAGGATGGCGCTCTTCCGTTGGCGACACTGTTGGGTCCATCCGCGAACGCCGCAGCGGCGGCATCGGAAGCCGCGGCCGCGCGCGCGGCAGCGGGCGGCCGCCAACGCGGCGCGCGTCGGGCGCCGATGCGCGGGCTCGCTGGCGCGCGAGCTAAAAGCGAGGCCCCGCGCGCCACGGGCGGCCAGCTCGCGGGTCTGCCCGCGAGAAAATGGCGGCGGATCCATCCACTTCCTTGTCTGACTGCCCTGGCTGATCCCACGCCCCCCGTGCGCGCACGCGCGCATCCGCGTGTTCTGAGCGCTCTGGTGCCAAGAATCCCGCCGACCACTGCGCCTGGACTGTCGCGCAGCAACATGCACCGCAAACGCGGCGCGCACGGCGGCCCCCCCCCTCCGAAAAAGTTGGGATGAGGAAGGACAGGTGGCGCGGGAAGATGGAACGCGAAACGGCCCGTATACTGATGAGCGTTTGATCTCAGAAAACGGCTGGCGCTCCTGGCCGGATTGCGCAGCGCAGTGACCCTGCCAATCGCGTTGGGGGCGACGGTGCGCTGCGCGCGCGACCGCTGGCGGGGGCCACCGATTACGTCGCGAAGGGCAGATCAATGGATGCTGCCCCTGGCCCGCCCGTCCGCGACCACGTCACGCGCGTCTTCCCAGCTCAGGGTCAATAGCTGACCCGAGCACGGGAGGTCACGGAGCCAGAGCGCGCGCGGCAACAGCGAACGCGATGCAAGGGGATTTGGTCTCGTAGCCGCCACAGCTGTGACCGCGCCCATGGAATCCAAGCTGAATTCGATTTGCAGTGCGAGGGGCCGCTGGCCGCCTCGATGGCGGCGCGCCGCCCCAGGGCCGCGCGAGCCCTGGAACGCCGCGCGGAGCGCGGTAGCCAGAGCGAGGCCGTGGTCCGTCGAACTGATCGCGGCCCTCAACTCACTTGCGAAGGTGCTTCGCGCCGCCGTCTGCTTAAGCGCCCCGCGCTGCCAATCCTGCAGGCGGCGCGCGACGAATGCCTGTCGCGCGCCCGCGTCTGTGGCCCCCACGCGCAGGAATGTGGCTCCTCTGCGCGCCCGTCTCGCGTCGACGCCTTCCTCTTGCTCCTTATATGAGCGCTGCGTCGCTGCGACCTCCAATCTACCCGCGCCGCGCAGCGGTGGATAGTGGATCCGCAGTGGCGTAGTGGTACTTCGTCTCCTTCCAGGCGTTCAAGCTCCTGGAGAGCCTCTGAGCTGACGCTGGCCCCCGTGGCCGGGTAGGGCTCGGCCACTATGGTGGCCGAGCTTTCCGAGGCGGCTCCGAGCGCGACGATGCCATGCACCGCGCGCGCAGCTATGCGCCAGGGCCCGACCTGTAGTGTCTTGGCGTGTTGGCTGCGTCCCCAGCCGACATCGCGGCCGCGGTTTCCGCTGCGCCCCAGACCCCTGCAGGCCGTGAGAAAACGTGGCAAACTGGCGATGGCCGGTGACGGCTTCTTGGGCGGGGGGCCTCTTGGGCCCTTGGCTCCCGGACAGCACTGGTCGAATACAACCGCTTCCACGCGGGGGCGCGTAGATACCTGTTCCCACGGGGGGCGCTGCGCTGAGTCAGGCGCGCCTATAATTGAGGCCACTGGGCGGGCCAGCACTGGCAGCATGACAGTGCCGACCACCGCCTGTGCGTTGCTTTAGACCTGAGGCGTTGTGGAAAGCATTGCTGGGCGGCGCGGCAGTCTTGATCGCAGCCAGTAGCCGGGTCGAAATTGTCGCCAGTCTCAAATCGTCGCCACATAGCGATCTGCCAGGTGCGGGCTTCACCGTCGCACAGCTCGCCTAGTTCCGCGCCGTGTCCCATGCCTCGCACAGCGGTCAGGAGCTGTTCTTCGCATGTGGCTTGGTTGGTGGACGCGGTCGCCAAGAATGGCCCCCGCCGCGTGCGATTCCGCCGCGTGCTCGCTCAACGGGAGCTCCCTCGCGCGTTCGACGGTCGCGCCCTGGAGCAGCTGGGCGAGCTGCTCCTCCGCGCCTAGCCCAGGGAGGTCGTCGCCCATATCGTCGAAGGCGTCCCCGCTTTCTTCTGGCGCTTGACCAGCACGTGACACTGTCCCTTTGCGCGCCTTCGGCCCCCTGCCTCTTCGGTGGGAAAAACAAATGACGGGGGCGCGCCGGCAATGCGGAGCGTGGTTCTGCCTGTCCGCTCGCGCGGCAAAACTTCATGCGCGGTGTGCCCACGCTTCCAGCTCGACGTGTCTGTGACGAGACTGCCCAGCCCATGCACGGGCATGGCATGGCTCGTCATACTGTCTGTCAAAGCGTTGAGAGATGCCGGGCAAGGGGTCTCGGCCGCGAAACAAGGGGTGCGCGGAGCAACGCGCGAACGCGCGTCGCGGTGCGTTCGCCCCAATTGGAGTGCCCAGTAGTCCTCCGTTGCGTCGTTCTTGGTGTCGCTACTTGCGCGCGCCAGTTGGCCTGGGACCTCGCCTGGATCGTCGAGGTCGGACGTGCCCCGCCGTGCTTCAACGGGCTTCTTTTCCTTGCAAATCTTGTTGTAATGACGTATCCTATCTGCGTCTGCGTCGGGATTCTCGGGCTAACGAACGGCCCCGCGATGGGCGCGCTGGGTGCTCGGCGACGCTGCCGCGGCCTCGCCGTCAGGAAGAACAGATAGTGCGTTCGTGTTTCCGACGATCTTCGACTCCACCTGAGAAGCAGGCGCCGCTCGGGCCAAAGCAAGGCGCGCGACCAGACGCGCATGGAGTTGCGACAGGGCCTTCGCCTTGAATCTCCTCTTCGCCTGCGACTCCGGCGCGGCGCCCTCGGCTGAAAGGGCGGCCGGCGGCGCTGCGCCTGGAAGCCCGGCGCGCCTAGTCTTCGCTTCCGGCGCGCACTTGCGGGGCCGATTTCGCGGGAACAACAGCGACAACGCAAACCAACTCAGGGCAGACACCCCTTGAACATAACAGCGACATCTCGGCAAAACCAATAACCCTCCGGCAATGATATTTTGACGACGGCGGGCGCTCGATCGACTGGCCGCGCGGTGCATTTTGTCAGAAAATGCAAACATGATGGAACCAGGAATTCGTAATCGACACAACGTGAGCGAATCTACGTTGTTTTGTCTGACAACCTAATCATGCATGTGTGGCGCGGGGGATGTTCATTCAAACATAATGATTTAAAATAAAACATTCGCGGTCGCATCCCCTCTGACGCAGTTGCAGCGCGCGCGCAAATGCGGTTAGCAGCGCTCTCCTTTTCTAACGCCCTGCTGCGCTAGTGGTCATCGCGCGAATGGGATTTAGGATGCGTGCCTTCATTCCATTAATGTGACTCTGGTTCGGATATCTAAACTTACACTGGTTCACGCGGTTTCGCCCGTCAGAGAAGCAAGGGAAATTCGCGGCGCACTCCGCGACAGCGAAACTCAAATCGAGCAATTCGCACAGAACTCCCGAAGGCGCCGCGGGCCGCGAGAGAGGCCAGGGGAGGTCCACCTGCCCGTTCAGGGGGGCGCGACCCACAACGGAGGCCCGCCCTGAGGGGTTCGACGCGCCCGCCGTCGTCGCGCAACCGCCGCGCAAAATTTGACAGCGCTGGGCTGCCCTGAAGGGTTGAACGGCGCCCGCCAACAATAATCGACAACGACGCCTTGAATCCGACGGGCGCCCCAGTCCTGCAGCGGCTGTCAGGACTGATCTAGCCTTCGGGGCACGCGCGCGTCAGGCCCGCCCCTTGCTCTATCGCCGCGACGATGTGGAACGCTGTCTCGGCGGGCGATTTGTCGCGGGATTCTGGTGCAAGCCCCAGCCGGCAGAGTCTGATTGTGACCAGTCTCACGCCAACTGCCGGGCTCGTGACCACTTTTACTGCCCAGATGCCCCGCTGGGGCCGTGGCTGCGCGCGGCGCGCTGCAGCCCCGACGCGAAAACAGTGCGTGATGCAATTGCTCTCGAGCTCGATTGCAATGATCTCCTGGGCCATCGCGGCGAGGCGGCATCATGGACCAATCCGAACTAGCCGGCGCTCACGCCAGGGGGCTTCGCTCAGGCGAGCGAGGACGCATGGGGAGAGACTGTTCCCGGGATGGAGCGCTCGCGTCTGCCGCCCGCGCTGCCCGAGAGCTCGAGCGACCGAAGGTGCGAGCTCTATCGCCGGAGCGCGGTTGGGGCGCGACGCTGGGTCCCCGGCAAGGATAGCCGGGGCGCCCCCTCAGGGGGCCTCACTGAGATGAACGGCGGGTTATATCTTAGATATAAGTTGAGGACGCCTGTTAGTAACTAAGTTATAACTAAGTTATAACTAAGTTATAACTAAGTTATAATTAAGTTATAACTAAATTATAATTTGGCGCGTTTAATAGTGACTGACAGCGTCTGAAGTATAAGCCAACCTCTAATACCTTATTAGAGCTCGTTGAGTTACTAAAAAACAGCAGACTTAAAAGGTTGATTATAAGTCGGGTTATAACCAAGTTAGGTGACCTATACTTAACTCAATTAGCCCTGAACTCTGCGACTTAGTAATTGAGTTATAACCAAGTTATAAGTCGACTTAGCTAAATCGACCTAACTCGACTTACTAAGTCGACCTAAGTCGAGTTAGCTAAGTCGAACGTTCGAGTTACTAAGTCGACGTAGTTCGACTTACTAAATCGAACTGTTTCGACTTATAAGTCGACGATTTCAACTTATGTTGAACCGTTTAACCTAATGTTTAAAAATGGTTAAGAACGGTGTTTAACATGTTTGCGGCACCTGGCCATCCACAACACCAACAAATATGTTGAGAACTTGTGGTCCAGATTTTGCTCTGGTAACAAAAAAGTGTTTGTTCTGGATCCACCGACAACAACATAATTTTGAAACAATGATGCTCTGGCTTTTTCTGGCAACATGTACATGAACAGTCAAGGCCCTAGAGCTCTCATCAAAATGCAAGGCGGCTCGGCTCGTAGCTTATATTTTTTATGTTCAAAAAGTATGGGCGACGTGTGAAATACCAATATCTACATCGTAAGCGTACGTCGTAATCGTATCTAGCGCGCGTTGCGCCCTCCACCTTGCGCCTGGTTGCGGGTGCGGTTGCGGTTGCGGCGGCGCCCTTCAGCGCGCGCTTCGCCATCTGGCGGGCGACGGGCGGGGGGGGGGGGGGGGGGGGGACGGGGGGGGGGGGCGTGGGGGGGAGGGGGGAGGGAGGAGGAGAAGGAGGAGGTACTATGTGTATATATGTACTATATATATATATAAAAACCATACCGGGGGTGACATGGGGGCGGGGAGAGGACGGGGCGGTGGGGCGCGAAGATAATCGCCTCTCTCGGGTCGCGGCCTGGGCTGGAGAGCCGCCCTTGTCCAGGGCGGCCCGCGTCGGGGGACTCCTCCTCCTCCTCCTCCTCCTCCCCCTCGCCCTCCTCCTCCTCCTCCTCCCCCTCCTCCTCCCTCCTCGAAGACGACGACTACGGCGACGACGAAGATGGGGAAGGAGAGTGGAGGATGATGTAATGCATGATGAGGAAGAATGAGCGACGGAGGAAGAGAAGGGGGCGGCTTCGACAGTCGACTTTTGTTTCGCCAGTCGATTTGTCTTTTTTTTTCGACAATCGATTTTTTGTTTATTTTTTTCAGCTACGCGCCCCTGCCATGATAGTAAGGCACGATGATCTTCACGGTCGATGGTGGAATGCGCATGTGCACAACGGGCTTGACAATCGGTCTGGCGTCGCCGATTCATCCCAGATGGTCCAAGTCCCAGGGTCCACAGCGGTAGCCCCCCGCACGTGGACTGCGATGAAATCGTCCATCGCATAGAACAACACAACTCTACCTAAACGAAGTGCACCGCCAGTGCGGATGAGCACGTAGTCGTCCCTCTTCACGCCACCACACTTCAACGCAGCCGCTGTAGACGTATCCATCTGGGTGCCTGCGATACGGCGCTTCGACGTCGATATATGCTGCCCGTCGAACTGGAACCGCCCCTCGACAACGTCTTGAACGTAACAGTTTAAGTATCCAAACGTTGTCGTGTGCTCGACCTGGCTGTAAACATGTACCACGCTCGTCTTCACGTCTTTGTGTTTCCGTTCTGGCGCAAAGCACGAAATCACCCTGCCCAGTCGCAGTAGGTCGCCGGGCACGTGCACCAAATGCTGAAACTTCACATTGCTAAACGTATGGTGCAATCGGCGAAACAGTACCGCGTGCTCTGCAATGGCCCCCGAAAGCGTGGCGTGCAATGCGCCCGTCATATCGTCCTCTCCTGATAGGGGCCCCAACATGAACGTTAACAGCTCGAAACATCGAACGTGGTCCGCGGGCACGCGACCAGAGCACCTGCACCGAAGAAATGCCAGCAACCATGGGCAAAGTCCGAGAACGCCGCTCGCAAACAGCTTCACGTGGTCGTTCGCTATGAAGTTCTCCGTGAACCACTCTGGCTTGTGAGGTGACGCGGTCAACTTGGGATGGATGCACAAGCGTGCGTAGGCGGCAATCTCATACATATCGATCATCGACATCTGCAAACACGATGTGAGCGCCGCAATCTGAAGCCCGCAACGCCATGCGATACCAGGGTGCGCTGCCAATCCCTGATGCAATTACTCACGGGGCGCAGCGCGCTTCTCAAACGAGGATCGCACAGCATCCCATGCTCATTATAACTAATGCCCAGCTTCGTTTCGAGCGCCCCCACCTTCGACGTCGATATCTGCCCGACCTGCGATGCCAAGATCTCGTGCATTCTCCAGAACGTGTCGTCGTCCAGCTGCTTGAGCTTCGATTTATCTACGCAGTCCAGTCCGACGGTGTACTGGCCGTCGGCGTAGCCAGTCTTGTGGATAAAGTTCACCACGTTCGTGCACGAGATGCAGGGTTTCAGCCCTGCCGCCCCTTTAATGGCCAAGAGCTCGTTGTGGCCTTTTTCATCGGCCATAAAACCGACCAGGCGAGCACGAAACACCCGCACGGCACTCCCATGGGGAACAACAAAGCCGCGCGTGAAGTTATGAGGCCCGTCAACGAACATGGCGACGAGAATCTGCTTCAAGAGGGCGCTCACTCCCCCAGGAATTCTCTCCGCCAGCCTGGTGCGAACCCCGCCCAGGCAAAACCAGCCCCCCGTTCTATGGAGGAGCCAGCCTGATAGCTCCAGAAAGGCGTAATAAACATTCCACAACTGGCGCCCAACATCAGATCTCAAAGGGTTGCCTGACGTCATCTCGCCACCGTAAAACGCCAAGCTACAAGTAAACAGAGGTGCCTTGTCGAGCGCATCAGACAGCAGATTGGCAAACTTTTCGCTGACAGTCAACATATAGTGCAGAAACGCAAATGGGTGTACATATTCCCACGGCCCGATGCCTGGGACATCCAGTGTCTGCGCAACAGGTCCGTATGGCGTCCTCGCGCGGCCATGCATCTCCGCTGCTATCCTGCACTGGCGTAGCTCATCTCGTCCTCCGAGCTCCTCGCCCCTAAGCATGCCTTTCCTATTCAGCGTCTGCAGGATGCGGGCGACGCTCGCCTTCGAACCCCGCGAAGTGGCCAGAAGCTCCGACCGCAGCTGCATCCTCGTCTCATCATCGATATCGATCGTGGCGGGTGCGCCCCGCTTCATGTTCGCAACACTGAACCTGAAACGGCTGTGGAAGAATGGCGATGGTGATGACGACGGCTGCGATGATACTAGAGACTGCACGTGAGAATGCATATATGCATGGTGAATGCAAGACGTTGTTGTGTAAATCTTTAAATTTGTATGTATATGCATGCATGTATGTATGTATGCGTGTACGCATGTATGCATGCATGTGTATATGCATGTATGTATATATGCATATATGTATGCATTCATGCGCGTTTGTATATCTATATATGTATGTATATGCACACGTGTCGACATCGATGCACATCCCTCGCGCGCGCAGCGGTGCGCGTTTTCGGACGGAGGGCGAAACGTTGTCGCACTCTGATGCACCTTGGCAAGCTACCTTCGGCAGCAACACAAACTTGCACAGGCGCAGAGAATGATGGCAGACACAGGGCCGCAAATGAAGTCCCGCATTCACGCGACTCGAAGCGGATGACGGGTCGCGATGGGAGGGGACGGGGCCGGCTTATTCGAGCGGGAAGGGAGGGATCGGAGACGACGCCGTCTGCCGGCAAACGCCCCCATGGTAGCTCCAGAAAGGTTTAATACAATTCCACAGCATGCGCCCAGCATCAGATCTCGAACGTCGACATTCGATTTACGATTTCGATGTGATGGTACTTTCGCAAAGCAGATCACACACATCGTGCGTATTTGTGTCGCTCTGAGGTGGCTTGCAAAACTGGCGCACAACACTTGCTGGGCGAACTCGAAACACCTGCACATCACTTCCATTGGGCACTATATTATACAAAGCCGTGTGTGAAAATCTGAGGCCCGTCAACATGACGACGATGATCTGCTTCAAGAGGGCGCTCAGTCCGAGCCCTCCTCAGCCGCTGCCTGCACAGCCGCTGCCGCGCGCCTCGAGGCCCGATGCTGGTCCCGCGTCCGCGCATCGTCGCTGGCGGGTCCATCGCACTCGGCGTCTTCGTCACCGTCTCCACCTTCACCACCTCCACTGTCCTCCTCTTCCTCATCCTCATAGTCGTCCTGGAACATACCGCTATCGCTGTCCTCGCCCTTCTCCTCGGAGGGCGAGGTGAACCCCGACCCCTGCTCGATGCATATCTTTCGCTCCAAGCGCCGAACTTTGCTCCGAATCTCCCCGATGCGATTCATGGTCTCCACGTGGCGAGCCATCGCGAGAGCCTCCAGCGCCTCGATTCTGGCCAACACCTCCCCGAGCCCTCCCCCCTTTCCCCTGCCCTCCCCCCTACCCCTCTTCTCCCTCTTCCCTCCTCTCCTCCCTCTTCCACCCTCATCCCTCTACCAACCTCCCAGCCCCTCCTCGCGCATGGGATCAGCCGAGGCACTCGCCATGCCCCCCCTGCGGCGCGGGGGCCTGCACTTCTGCTAGACGTAGTGCGTCAAGCCTTTGAACTGGAGTCAGCTCTCCGCTCGGGCCTAAAGCAACGGATATCGATGTCGATGTTTCTATCGAGTTCGATGTCTCTACTGGCGTCGATGTCGATGCTTTTATCGATGTCGATTTCTTGCACCACAAAACCCCCATCTCAATGCTGGCCGATGGGCTTTCCGACGGACGGAGCTCGACCGCGGGGCGCGCAGGCAAACCGGCCATGGGAGATATATCTTTGCCTCGGGGGTCCTCCATCCTCATTCCTCCATCCTCCATCTCCCCCTCCACTCTCAATCACCCATCCCCCTCCTCCTCCTTCATGGTGATGGTGGCGATGATGATGATGGCGATGATGCTGCAGATGGTGATGATGAAGATGATGATGATGACGCTGATGGCGATGATGATGTTGTGTTTTGTTCAAACCGCGTGCCATACATCCCCAGCACATTCGTTCATCGTGGGCGTCGGTGTCGATGTGCGCGGTTACCCACGCCACCTCGGTATCGCTGGCATCAAACCACACCGCCAAGCATATTGAAAGACATACTTCGTCGTCGATATCGATTGCGCCGTCAGTGGCGTGCTGATCGCACTACATGCGAGATTGCACCTACGAAAAGAAACGCCTCATGCCTTTGCGCTTATGCATTGGCTTAGCTGGAGGCATGCCCTGCAAATCCAAAGCGCACAACAAGGCGCTGCACTTCTGAATGTCGAGCTTCATTCCGAGATCCTCCTCATCCCGCTGGTGGTTTTTCAGCATGACCATATAGTGCACACGGCTACAATAGAAGCACACGTCGTGCTTCCCATCATCGTCCTTCTTGCACTTGCACCCCGCCTTCGCGCAGCGCCTCAAGAAGTGGTTATTCAGCTTCTTGCGGTACCAGAGCGTGCCCCAGTACTTCGGGTATAAGATGCCGCCCTCGTCAGCCCGCTGCTTTATCTGCACCAACTTCCACGGCGTGGGCCCCTCCATGTACGGCGCCATCTTGACGGCCTTCACCGGGTGGAACTGCACCTTCTTTTCCATGTCGCCCGCGGTCTTGGCGGGCTTGTACTTCTTCAGCGCTGGCCGGAGGCCGAGCTCGTCATCGCTCAAGTCCATGCTCGGGCTGAGCGTGAAGCTCGGTGGAGTGAGCGCTCCCCGCATGACCTCGCCCCTCGGCGGGAACGGCATCGCATTCTCCAGGCCTGGCGGGAGCGGAAACTGCAGGTGCGGGGCCGTCTCCGTCTGCGCTGCATAACTGGTGAAGGACATCGGCACTAACTGCAAGGATCGATAGGCGATTGCGAGTCTACGTGGGCTTCGATCGTCGACGTACAACTGTAACGAGCCAAAATGGCTGGGGAGGCCGCGCTAGACGATGCCGGGGGCGGCCTCGGAGTAGAGTGAGAATAAGATCGTAAAGTAAGATGGTATACCATGGTAGTAGAGCACGCCACGATGTACGATAATCGAATACCTTTATGAGCTCGTCTCATCTTCGGCCCCAGGCTTCCTATATCTACTCTCTACTCTCTTACTCTCACTCTACAATCGTTTACTGTGTCACTGCGGAGGAGAGAGAGAGAGAGATAGAGAGAGAGAGAGAGAAAGAGAAAAAGAACACAATGGATTTGTTCGGTTCACATTGAGGCAGTCAGAAGGGCGTCACTCCCAATGACGCGCTGCGTGCAGACGCCTATGGCGATATCGATCTGAGTCCGTGTTGCCCGACGTCGATGGCTGGATAACGTCCCCGTGGCACATGCGAACCTGACCGTCTGCGCACTGAGCGAAAAGATAACACGCGATGCAACTGCAAATGCAAACGCTGTTGCCCTACACCAGCGTAAAACAATGCTCAGCTGAGCGGGGTCGCGCTCCAATCGTGACTTCACTACGACGAGCGCCACTCCGTAAACTTCGATATCGATATCTCTGCGAACAAAACGATTGCATCGGCGTGCCCTGCAGGGAGCGCTATGCCCAGCGTAGCGCACCACCTTAATTCGGAACTCGGAGCGCTGCTGCACCGCCTACCAGTTCCCCTTGTCACCGTCGACCCACTCGACCACAGCCTTCCACGCCTTCTTCTCGTCGCCGCCGTACGCGCCCCAGGTCCCCCAACTGAACATCTTGTCCCAGATAACGCCCACCTTCTTGACCCGCCACTTGGAGTTGTTCTCGTCCGTATAGATGACATAATCCTTGTAATAGACGGGGGGCTGCTTCTTGAGCGCGGGTAGCGGGGGCGCCTTGGTCGACGTCGATGTTGGGCAGGCCTTGGCCTTGGCCTTGGCCTTGGCCTTGGCCTTGCCTTTGGCCTTGGCCTTGGCCTTAGCTTTGGCCTTGCCCTTGCCTCTCGTCGTCTCGGTCTCCTCTAACATCTCCTCGATGTACTCGTCGATCTCCTCCTGCCGTACCGCGGGCCCCCCGCTGGCAGCGGCGGGCTCCTTCATAGCTGGATGCTGCTCCTCATCATCTTCGTCGTCATCGACTTCGGCGAGCGCGCGCTTCCTCGAAGCTTGGAGCGGCGGCGTCCCCGAGCCAGGATCCGTCGCGGCGCCCTTTGGAGCGGGCGTCGTCGGCGGCTCGAGGGACCCTGCTGACGAGGTCCTCCGCGAGCCCGATGGGGGCTCATCCAAGAAGGCCAGCGGGGCGTCGCCCTGCCGCGGACCCCCTCCTGCCGATGCGGTGCCCGTGAGCTGGCCGAACATGATAACCATCGTGCTCATCTGCTGCATGAATGCGTCCTGATGCCTGCTGTTCGGGATCGGGCGCTCGAACGGGACCACGCTGCTGCTGCCCCCCGAGGGGTGCTCATATATTCCGTTCGTCTTGCGGGCTTTCGTGATCTGCCCTGCTTGCAGGGGCAGGGCCTCGCTAAACTGAGGCTTGGGGAGCACGGTGGCCCCGAGCACCTGCGGCTCGATCTCGACGAATTGCGACACACGGAAGGGGTAGTTGCAGACAGACGATTGCACCGAGCGCCTCGATGCACGTTTCTTCTTGATATGCTCCTCTGGGCAGCACGCGACCCCCATCGGGCGCCCAGCCTCGAGCATGTAGCCCCGTGGGGTGCCCCAGGGGGAGTGGGGTCGTCTGGTTGAGGCCCCTGGATCGCCAACACATTCAATAAAAGGCGGGGCAACAACTTGAAAAAAGCTGGGTGAAAACCCTGGCCCGAAACATGAGGTGGCGATGTGGACGGAGAGGGAGGGGGCAGTGGTGATGGGGAGAGAACGAGAGTGTGGGTGATAGTGGTTACTCGATGTCGACGCGTTCGGGGCCTCTCGATATCGACGTCGCCTCTTCCCCCTCCTCACCCACCTTCTCCCCCTGATCCTGTCCATATAACCCCCGACCCCGATGCTGAGACCTGGGCGCTCGATGCGGGGGTCGCGCATTCGACGTCGAGAGCGATGTCGATGTCGAGTCCTTGAGCTGGTTCTTGTACTCGAACGCCTGCGCGGGCGTAGGCTCCCGACCCGCGGCGATCTCGCTCGCGACCGCGAGGGCGGCCAAGCGAGGCACCGTCTTCTGGTCGGGGTAGTGCAGGCCGAGGGTGTGCACGAAGTACTCGCCAACCTTATCGAGCTTCGCCTCGACCCCCAGGTGGGGGTCCTGTAGCAGCGCCCACATATCCGTCGTCAGGTAGTGCTCTGGGTACTGGTGCGTCTGGTACTGCACGTTGAAGTTACGCCCGTCACGCTTGCCCGTCATGGCGATGTCCATCGTCACCGACTCCGTTACTGCAGTTATCAGCTCGCGCTTCTGGGCGGCCGTGAGGATGTCTGTCGCGTTGATGGCGTGTACGGTCTGAGTCGCGTCATCCCTGGCGCAACCACCACGACGGACGATCATCTTCACGTGGGCGACCTGGCGCTCGATCACCTGGGCCCGATCCGCATCCTCCATCTGGGCGGTCACCGCCCGCGCGAAGTCGACGACGCCCTTGAAGGTGGCGAGACGCGACGCCCTTGCGGTGGGTGCCGCCGCCGCGCTCGCCATGGCGATGACGATGCGGACGCGCTTCGATGTCGATTGCACCTATGCGCTACGAGCCCAAATGGTGACGGTAAGATGGCGATGCATAAGGCCCTGCCCCCTCCTCCAGGCCCTCCCCCATCTTCCAGCCCACCTCGTCCTGACCTCCCACGCGGCCCACGAGGCGCTGGGCGCGCCAGTTTGGGTGGCCCGATTCGCGACCACCTCGATCGCAGCCGACGTCGATGGATGACGAGGTGATGGTCATGGTGACCATCACCTCGTCACCAACTATCTTCGCTCATGACCGCTGGGGTGGCTGGGCGCGCCCAACGATTGCCCATGTCAGCGCTCGCGCGCGCCTCGTTCGGCACCCCGTCGCATCAATGGCCCATCGCTCGTCAGCCTGATGCCCCCCCCCCCCCCGCTTCCCCCGCTCCCTCCACCTCCTCATGCCGCTCCCACTCCCCATCCTCCTCCTCGGCGGGGGGGGCGGCCTTCGCCTCGACGGTGCCCACGACGCGAGGCGCGGCGAGAGGGCAGCGGCGGTGGGGGAGGGGGCGGCGAGAGAGCATCAGCGAGGGAGCATCGGTAGTCGATGCGACGACGACGACGACGACGACGACGACCACGATGAGGGCCATCGCGAGACCAACAGCGTGTTGTACAAACAGTTCAAGGAGATGGGGGGGGGTTCGTCCACGAGTGCGCGGCGAACGCGCGCCAGGCACGCTGCCGCCGACGACGACGAACGACGACGACGGCGGCGGCGGCGGCGACGAACGACGACGACGACGACGGCGGCGGCGGCTCTGTTTTTTGCATCTGCAGCGGCGCCGTCTCTAGCCGAGATCGACGGTCGACTTTGCCCTGCTCCTCGCGCTTATCATCTGCGGCGCTGCGAGGGCCTAGGCGGGGTCCTCGAAGGCCGTGGCTGCGGCGCCTCGCTGCGCGACGCCACGCGCGGCTCCACCGCGTCCTCGACCATCAAACTCGAAAACACAAGTCGACATCGATTCAGCAGCAAGCCGCGAAAGGGGCCCCATGTACCCTAAGGGGCCCCGAAGAGAGGTGGCGCCCGCACTTGAATACACACCGCAGCCTCGCACCGTGAGCACGGGAGGTTGCGTCGTCGTCGGCCTCGTCGTCACTGTCGTCGTCGTCGGCCTCGTCGTCGTCACTGTCGTCGTCGTCGTCGTCAGCCTAACGACGCCACTGGCCCGTGTGGCGCTGCTGCTCCAGGGCCTGCCGCGCGTTCGTCACGCACTTGCGAACGAACTTCGACGGGTTCGCGAGGCTCCCCTCGCCCATCTTCTTGAACAGCTTGTACAACGCGTTGTTGGCCTCGCGATGACCCTCATCGCTGAACTGGGCCAGGAGGAAGACGCTCTGCCGGGCCGTCCCGTCGGTCTCGCATTGGCGAAGAAGGCCGAGCCAGGCGCGAGGGTCCCGCTCGAACGTGGCCCAGACGGGCCCCTGCACCTCCTCAGCGACCGCGGGCGCCTCCTCCGCGGCCGCCTTCCATCGACATCGATGTATTTAGCAAGCCTGTATTTCGATAGTCGGGGGCCATATGTGTGGCCAGGGACTCGGGGCAGGGGGCGGGGTCATGACCGCTCGGGGCCACTCAGGGCCACTCAGGGCCAGGGGGGGCAACGCTGGACTACAATGTGGTTCACGTGAAACGGCCTTCTGTTCCACCTCCATGCTCACTGGCGTTGCAGATGATGAGTTAGCGTCGACAGTCGAGGTGGCTTCGCCAGCTGCTCGAGGATCGACTTCTGATAACGTCTCGGCCTTGGCGCCGCCATTCCATTCGTAGGAGGGGAGGGGTCAGTTGCTTCGACATCCAAGCGGAGGAGGTCTCAAAATAGACTTGGCACCCAGAATGAGGATGAGGGAGAGGATGACGAGGGGGAGGAAGCGGGGGGGGGGAAGGAGGAGCAAGATGAGGGGCAGATGGGCGGTGGGCGAGATAGCTGGGTGTGCGAGCGAACTGAGACAGACGTATGTGCTGAGGCTCCTGGACAGCCAAAAAATAAATAAAAGGCCGAGCAAACAAAAAAAACTAAACGTCGACCCCCCGCACTGGAGATGGCGATGTGGACGGAGAAGGAGGGGGCATGGGGGAGAGAACGAGAGTGCGGGTGGTAGTGGTTACTCGATGTCGACGCTTTCGGGACCTCTCGATATCAACGTCGCCTCCTCCTCCTCAGCCACCTCCTCCTGCTCCTGGTACCTCTCCTCTTCCTCCGCATCGTCGGACTCGCGGGCGTAGACCCCCCGCGCTGGCACTGGGCGCCAGGCACTGCTGGTCCCCGACTTGCCGTAGACGGGGCCAGCCTCCTTGCCGCCCTTGGTGTCGACCTTGCCGCCTGCGCCCTTGCCGCCCTCGCCGATCCTGCGCGACTTCTCGGCCCGCGGCGGCGACCCTGGCGGCGGCACGGGCCCGACATTGCGCACCGTGTGGTACTCGGTGTAGACCCAGTCCCACAGGCTCTTCCACGCTGGGTACGCCATGTGGTCGTCCCTGACCGCCTGGCTCGCGTAGGGCTGAGAAAAAAAAGCACCTCGCCGCCCTCCGCCAGCTCCCATGCCTTCCCAGGCTCCATCCACGCCATGACGCTCTCCAGCATGCTGATGTGCCCGCGCTCGCCGTACTGCTCGCCCGAGTTGAAGATCTTCGAGTTGCACGCGCGCGCGTGCATGCCCTCGACCTTGGTCCTCGACAGTATAAATGTCAGCATCGCGTTGCACATGCGGCCCACCGTGTCGCTGCGATGAAAGCCGTGCTGGCACTCCACCAGGACGAGGACCGACGGCCACTCCTTGATCTTGTAGTTCGACACCTCGATGACGATGTCCTTGCACGCGTCGACGAACCCTGCTTGTGACATCACCGCCTTCTGGGTCTGTGCGTGGAGACCGTTCTCCTTGTGTCCGATCGTCTTGCACGGGCCTTTCGTCAACAAGCGCCTGACGTCGAAGTGAATGACTTTCGACCCCATGCGCTCGCACTCGTGCGCGGTCCCGTTCACCAAGTCCTTGTGGATCTGGCCATAGGTGATGACACCCACGACCTGCGCGAACTCCATCGAGCGGATCTCCTCCATGGCGCAGGAAGAGTACAGGAAGAGAAGGTTGTGAGAGTGCGCTGCAGCACAGCCGAAGGCGCGCGCGTGCACTCAGAGAGCCGCAGTGGCTAGTAGGCGATGGTCGATGGGCCAGCCTCGATTGTCGAGCGTCGATTGTCGATCTGGAAGGTAAGCCAACTGCAGCCCAGCAGCTCGCACAGCGACTTTGAGCTCCCCTATAGGCGCTAAGGCCAGTTCCGCACCCAGCAAAACCCGTCAGGGCTGCCCAAGACACAGGAACCCAAGGGCGAGCAATCTCACCACTCCCAAGGGCCCAGCGAGGACAAACCCATCAGGGCGACGAATGAACCAGGACTCCCGCCTGGATTTAGAATATGAACAAGGGGAGCTCGAGACCGCTTGTGAGACCCCCGTGCTCTTCGACATCGATTGCAGCTGGCTCCAACTCCAGGGCACAATGCAACAGCCAACGCAATATCAAGTGCAATCGCAATGAGGCAAGTATTACCACATACTACGTGCACCTATGTACGTACACATATAACACTCATGCATAGTACCTGCACACATGTATATGTATATATATATGTAGATGTAGAGATATATAGACACATCCCCCTCATACGCATATATATATATATATGTAGATACAAGTGTCTATATACATATATATAAATATATATGTGTAGAGATATATGTAGAAAGATATAGACCCATGTATATATGTAGAGATATAGACCGCCCAAGAGGAGCAAACTCCACCACATCATATGAGCAGCAGGGCTTGGACAGGACGGGTGAATGAGGAGGACGATGAGGAAGGAGGAAGACAAGGAGGAAGGAGGAGGACGAGGAGGAAGGAGGAGGAGAACGATGTCGATGCTCTTTTTTCCGTGCCAACCCTGTCACGAAACTCTCAGTCGTCCTCGACTTCGACAAGCTCCTCTTTCTCGTCGTCGGCGGCAACGCCGTCGGAGGTGCCAGCATTGCTCTGAGAGTCCTCACCTGCCTGAGCTGATTCGAACAACTGCATCGCCTCCGCCGCGGAGCTCGCTGTCCTGTACCTCACGCTCACATGGCCGTCATCGCCTGTACGTTTCAGCACGAACTGGCTCTTGGTGTAAGAGAAGCTCAGCCCAGGATACTCCTTAATGTCGACCTTGAGCTCAGCAGGAACCTTCTCGGACGGATGCTGCCTGTGGACGGTTCCCGACTTGATCTCGAACTCGCAGCACGCCTTCAAGTACATCACGAGGTCCTCCTCCAGCTGCACATACAGGGGGGTGCCAGGCCTGTCGATAATGACCTTGAAAGGGATGCCCTTGATGTCGCCCATGGTCGGACCATGTACCGTCGTTGTGGTGCCCTGAATCTCGTCGCGGTTCGACCTGAATCGTTTCTTCCATGTCCTGGAGCCAGGCGGCGGTAAGGATGTCTTCTCCATTCCGTGAACGCTAAGCTGGTCCAAGGAGGCTAGCAATCACGATCTGTATGCGTCATCTCTAAAGCGCTCCACTGTTTCACACATCGATGTGTTAACAAGAGGCCTGCTGCCCTTGGAACGCGGATGCCCAAGAAGCTTCATCACCACATCGCAGCTCTTCTTGAGGTGAAAGAATACACAACCGTTTAGCTCCCTGCAGTCGTCCAGGATGACTGGCGAAGCCATGTGAGGGGCGCGCGCGCGAACAACTTTGTCCACGCACCAGGCCATAGCATCCACCATGTGTCGGATATCGATATCGACGTATTCCTAGAAGCGCGCGGGGGCGCATCTACATCTGGAGCCAAACAAGCAACGCGCGACGTCGAGCGATAGGCGCACGCGACTTTCGACTGACGTGGCGTCGTGAACCGCGTTCCCCGAAAGAACAAACACACTGGGTTTGGAGCCTAAGCGTCTTGAGTAAGTTGTAAGAGGTTTAAGTGTATACGCGGCCCTGGATAAACGTTCTAAGTTTCGAGCTCGACCGCGATTTGGAACCGGGCACGGCGACGACGATGACGCCGACGAAGCGGACGACGACGACGATTATGTATATGTTTTTCGTGGTAACTATTGCAAAAACTCCAAAACTCCATGGGAATCCAACAGTCCATGATCGATGCCGATGCCTCATCTCTACATCGCTCCACTGATTCGCAAATCGATGCGTGCATGTATGTCTACCTGCTGCGCGCTACTTTCTTCATGGTGGACACCTCGATGGTCGGCGGAGGGGGGCCTCTTCGGGGCAGCGGTCGCGACCTTGGGAAGCGCGAGCTCGTCTCCAACGTTCAGAGCCATGACGTTGGTGACTACGGGGATCTTGATATCGTACACTTTAGCGTTGCCCACAGATACGGCCACCGAGTGCTTAGTGATGGCGCAATTCGGCTTCGTCAACTCCGCGCTGTCCACGTGCCTGATCTTGAAAGCAAGGCTCGGCGCTTTAGCGCCAGGGTCCGAGAGGGCGAAGGACCCCGCGATCCTCTCGCCAGGGCTGGGCACATCGAAGTAGGGGCGATCGCTCTCGCCGCACTGCTTGATGGCCAGAGCCGTCGGCACGATGATCAACTTTTTCGCCTGGAACTTCTTCCTAGAGAAAATGCCCATGTTGGGTTTGCTGACTGCCATCAGATCGCCCCCATCGACTTCGAATTTCGACGTCAAAGATACCATGGCCATAGCAATTGCTGACTTGATGTTGATCGCGACGAGATCGGTAGATTTAGAAGCTGCGTCATCTGGCCACCCAGCGAGCAACTCTTTCTTGGTTGTAGTAAAGCAGTACTTCTCGATATGGGGCACCGGATAACGATGTGGTGCAAGGAGCCATTCTGCATCACCTCCCGAATCCGAACGCCATCCTCCGACATCGAAGCTATCTTCAACGTTTTCCCTTAGATCGAAGGTGCAAGGGCACAACTCATGCACCTGGGTGGCTAAAACATATAGGAGTTTTATGTGGCGTAGAGGGTGACGGGTCCAAGGTGTTTGAGGGAGTTAGGGGAAAACCACTGAAACTGGTAAACCACCCGTAGCTCGGCCGCGCCCTTGCACCTTCATCGTCCTTCTTCAGCTTGATGGTGTCATCAACCTTAAACCCTCTCTGCTCCAAGATGCAGATGTTAGCGTTCGCCAGCTCCCCCGTGCTGGCGTCGTACTGCAGCATGCCACTGAAGGGGGTCTGCTTGACGGAGTCCCCATCGGCACCGCCGTCGTGCTGGGCCGACTGGCAGGTATACGGATTGTCGATCTCGATGGTACAATTTTGCTTTGCCTTCAATGCCTCGATGCACTCGTGAGCGACGCACTCGATGTTTGCGCATCGTTCATCCACCTTTTTCCCTAACAACAACATTGCTATCAACTGGTCGGCCTTACCTATGATCGGAATGCGTTCAATCGTATCGATATCGATCTGCCTGGAAACGCTGTGAAGATGCCGCAGGGCCTTCTCTGCTGCCATCGCTTTAGACTTCGCCTCCGTGCTAGCGAAGAGGGGCGCGATCTCTGAGCGGGTCGCAAACCTGCACATTCGACTCTGCACGGACTCGGGGGGGCCGTTCACGTGAGCCTTGACGACGGCCATTACCAGGTGGTGCATCATCTCTGTCGCCGCGAGCTTTGCCTTGCAATGTCTCGAACACGTGCCCGCCCACCAGGCGCCCAGCGGGCGCGCACCTTGAAGCGAACTGCACGAGGTCCTTGATGAACTGGCCCTGGGACCCCCCGCCATATTTCGCCACGAAGTCAGCGCATGCGTCGATATCGTCAACGTACTTCGATTCCGATTTGCTCGCCTCGGTCCTCACACTCGCCCCGTCGATTACGGACCCGTCGCGCCCCTGCTCGGATGCAATGGCCTGGATGTGAAGCAAGAGCTCGAAATGCGTTTCTTCACTCTGCACCTGGCCCGTCGCCTGCTTTGCCGACTGGATCAAACCTGGAAGTTTTGGCCAGCGTTCCTCTGCCTCCTTTTTCACCATCAACCACCTCAACCCAGTGCCAAGTGCTTTTTCCAATTGTTTATCTTTGCTTTGGATCTGCCCCGCGTTGATGCGACCGTCGATGTCGGACAACGTTTTCTCCTTCGTCTCAACTCTCTCTAAGCAAGCCACCGCGGGCAGCGGAAGTGCTCGCCTGATGGGCGCGCTCCTGAGCCCCGCTGCCAACTCCCCTGGTGCTCGCGAGCTTGCGCGTGAGGCGCCGCTTCGGCCAGCGCCCTGCCCCTACAGCTCGGCGGCGCAGCCGGCGCGCGATCGTCTCTCCCATGAAGTTCGTCCACGCGCCTGGGCCCGCGATTCTATTCCTGTGACTTCAACTTCTGACTGGGCGCGAAGATATGATGGCAGCGGCGGCGGTGGCGTCACGGCGGGGGGCCAACCATGACCACGTTGATCACCTATTGGGCACGCTCGCGTCGGCGGGCGCGTCCGCGCCCCATCTGAGCGTCGCGCTCGGTTTCCAATCTGGTCACGGGGTGCAGCCGCCTGGGGATATCATGGGCCGGCGCGCGCGACGCTGGTCGTACTCGCTACGGTCGGTAATTCAGCGAGGCACTCATATCCGCGGCGTCGTGGCCTGTCTGGCAGGGCAGCCTGCGCTCGTTCGCCTTGCCAGAGGCGTGCGAGTTGACCGAAATCGCTGATGTGAGGATTAATGATTCGCTGGTCGTCGAAGACCGCGAGTTGGCCCGCGGGCCAGATGGCGGCCCCCGCGCCGCGCTGCTGGTCAACGAGGCCCATCTCGCAGGGGCCCCGCAGAGCTGCAGTCCTCAGCGGCTCGCCAGCTGAAGGGCGACCTCCGCCCGCGGCTGCTGCTGGCTTTGCGGCGGCGGTGGCTGCGCCAGGGAACGGCGGCAGCGCGGGCAGTTGCTGCGGTCTTGGAGTTGGCGCTGTCACGTGGAATAATTGAGGCGGTGGTAAAGCGGCTCGCGCGCCTGTGCGCGCGCGGCTCTGGGCCGCGGCAAGCGAGGCTGCCGACGACGAGCCGTGGACAGATCAAGGTGCATTCCAGGAGCCGTCGACAGATGGCAGCGCCGGCGCGACGTCGGGCCCTGGCGGCGGCTGAAGAGTGCTCTCCGTGACCGCGAAGGCAACTCCTGAGAATCTGGCCAGGGGGCCTTGGTCCAGGGCGCCATCCAATAGTTCTGAACGTGCGCGCCCCCTGAACTGACCACCGCTGCCGCTGCCTAGCGGCGACGGTGCGGCACCTCGGGGGCACTCGGCGCGAACGCGGCATTCGCTTCCACACGCCCGCACACACGCACACGCACACGCACACGCACACGCACGCACACACAGACACGCACGCACACACACACACACACACACACACACACACACACACACACACACACACTCTCTCTCTCTCTCTCTCTCTCTCTCTCTCTCTGCGCGTCATGGCGGCCCCGTTACATCGCTAGGGATTGCGGCGCCTGCCTTTCCACTTCACTGACGAGCGCCTGCGCGCGCTCTGTCCTTTCCCACCAAAGAACCTGATCTACTGGAGTGTCCGGGAGCTCTGAGGAAAACATCTGGGCACCTCTGCGCATGCCTCTGCCCTGTCTGGAGAACATGTTGTCGGTCTTCTGGATGAATCTACGAACCTTGTGCGCAGGGCGTTGCGCGCGCCGGCTCCACGAGCGTTTTTCCGACTTCATCTTCCAAAACAGCCGGGCATCGACTTGGGCAGGGCTGAGACATTGAAACTCTGGGGCGTGGCACTTGGTTTCTCAGCATGGATCCGAGCTGGCGTCTGAAGAGGGGTCCACTGACGTAGTCGGCCCCGCCCGCAGGCGCCCATGCGGCGGCGAGATAGGCGATCTGCGGCGGCGCGGCGCTCTGCGACGGGCACGGTATAGCACCTCTGGCGCCGGGGCCCTCAGCGGCGCTGGCTGCCCAGGGGTTGAGACCCTGGGCGCGCCGGGGGTCTGCGGAAGGTGTGAATTGACTGCCGTCGTTGGTCATGCCCACGAGGCCTCCGAACGATGGCAGCGAACGAAGGGCACTGGCGACGTTGTCTGGTGCATGCCCCACGATGTAGCACACGCGGTTGAGCATAGTCGCAAGGCTGTTGAACTCAGGCTCTGTGGCTGGACATCGGGAACCGTAGGGCTGGAGCAGCGCCATGAGTTGGCTAGCTGTGACATCGACCGCTCGGAGGAGCAGCCAATTTCAGCAATCTCAAAACGTCGGAGCTCCACCGTTGTGCGTAGCTCGGACTCGCAGAGTGAGAAACTGCGAGAGCAGCGCGTCGGCGGTCTCGTTGCGGCGCCTCCATAACTCGAAAACCTCGCGGGTAGCCTGGAGGCGCAATTCCTCGCCCAGAGGACCGGACAGCGTAGTGAGGAGCGAAGAGGTAGGTGACGGCGTCCTCGTGCTGGCCGCTGCCTCCCTCCGCTACTTCCGTGAATCTCATGGAGCGCGTGAGTTCGCGAGCGGCTCCACCTGGCTTGAATACGATGGCAGCGCATTGTTCGGCGCTGTCCATGTCGGTGGCGGTCACGCCCTAAGCGAACATGTCCTGTGCCCAGTGACAAAATGGATACACAGACTCGCGCTCAGGTGACCACGAGGGCAGCTGGCGAGACGTTCCCGCCGCTACCGCCGCCGCTGCCCTGTGGGCTGGCTCCACCAGGCATCATGCAGGTGAGCCACAGAAGGGCGGCCACGAAGAACATGATAATGCTGCCCCAAAGCGTCAAGAAGGATATCCTTTTCGATAGGTCCCCACCACGATGAAAGCTCTGGAGGCGCCTTGGGGATCGGGCCTGCGCAAGGACGAACGCCATGTCGAAAGTGGGGGCAGCCGTAGTGGTGCTGACAACCTTGGTCGAAACCAAGGGTGGCCAGACTGGGGTGATAACATTCAGTGCTCCACTCGATTGGTGCGACGTGCTCGCATGGGCGGCTAGCACTGTCGCGCAGATCGCGAAGGACGGTACTAGCCAAGGGAGGAGCCTCGCTGTGATGCCCGACGCAAAGTTGTGCCCAGCGCCGGTGGGGTGCGATGGGTTGTAGGAACGCCGTGGCGTTCCCGTGGGCGGTTCGCTCCACATCGTGTCGCATGCACCTGCTTGTGCCCTCGCACCATCATCTGCACAGAGGCTCGAACGCTGTTGCTTGTCTGCGTGCGTCCAGGGCGAAGTGCCCGTTGGGTTTGCAGAGCAGCCCGAAGCACAAGTTGTTCAGGGATTGTAAGGTTTTACCAATGCAAAAGGCGAAACAAAGTGCGAACGCGCGTCCACATCGCACTCTGCGCACGTTCCGTGGATCGCGAGCTGGGATCGTTCCCAGCTCCGCTACCAACTACAATTGCGGGGGTTGGAAGATGACGAGAGAAAGCATTGCGGTAATACGTGTAGATAGCGAGCTTTTCTCTCATCAACATTATGTACACGCCGGCGCAGAAGCCAAACGGCGGCAGAGCATCCGATTGGAGCGAGGAGGAGGAAGAGGGGGAGGGGGGAGGGGGAGGAGGAGGAGGAGGAGGAGGAGGAGGAGGAGGAGGAGAAGGAGGAGGAGGGGACGAGAGGAGGAGGAGGAATAGGAGGAGAGGGAGGAGGAGGAGAAGGAGGAGGAGGAGGAGGAGAGGAGGAGAAGGAGGGAGAGGAGGAGGAGGAGGAGGAGTGAGGAGGGGAAGGAGGAGGAGGGGGAGGAGGAGGCGAGGAGGAGGAGGAGGAGGAGGAGGAGGAAGAGGAGGAGGAGGAGGGGGGAGGGACAGCGAGCGGGACCTCGGGAAGAAAGTTGACCATATCCAGCTCCATTCCTTTGCTGCCTGCTGCCAGCCCCTCCCCCTGGTCGGTCAGCAGCTCTCGCACCGCCGCGCCCATGGCACGGAACAGGCCGCGCACCTGGTCGAAGGCGAGCAGCGGCTCGACCTCTGGAAGCAGGGGTCTCGCGGAGGGCTCCGCGGCGTCGAGCGCCTCTGGCGCCGACAGCGGGCCCGCTGCCTGGAGATCATGTGCTTTATTGTTCGCGATGACACCCGCTACCAGGGCCAGCCCCCCCCCCACCCTCCATCCCAGCCCCCACCGGTAACGTCGCGATTCCACTGGACACTGCTAGCGAATCCAAATGAGCACCGCCGTACAGCTGAGCTACCACATGATGATGCTTCTCGCGGTTCCGAACGCCACAGCACAGGCTTGCCATCGCCACAATGACCTCTGCGCCTGCTGGCAGTACAACTTTTGCTGATGCGGCGGCGTTTCTGAACACCAGGGTCCCCTTGAATAATGCTTGCACTTAGGTGTATGGTACTTGAATTGTGAGGGCATGGTCTTGGGTGACGCATATGCTATGGTGCACGCTTGGCTCCCATGACTTGGATCCTACGGATGTCTGCGGCTCGCCGCCCCACTGGACCTGGGTGTCAAACGTACTCGGAAGACTGCGTGGCCCACATATGGCTGAACTTCATGTGGATCTGTATGGCTCGTCGCCCTGCTGAGTGGCCCTGTGTGCCGCACTGTTCCGCAAGCTTCTTGAGTCCGACTGTCTGGATGCCTGCGGAACCGTGTGGCTTGCCGCCCCACTGGCCATGGGTGCCGCGCTGTTCCAAAGGTTTTTGTTTGTCCAGACTGGCCCTGGGTGTCTCACGTGTTCTGGAGGCTGCTTGGATCCCTATGGCTTGACTTCGTACGGATCTCTACGGCTTCCAGCCACATTGGCCTTGGGTGCAGCGCGTGTCCTGGAAGCTGCTTGGACCCCTGTGACTTCCCGCACGCAGGCCCTGCGTACCTCGCTGTTCGCCGGCTGTACGCATATGACTCTACACGGTGCGTGTTACACAACACTTGGTTTCACACATATATAGGGCCCGACACACATAAGGGCTCCACAGAAGTAGAATTCCACGCAGATCCCAGAAATGTTGGACCCAAAGACATGATTTCCGCGGGTCCAACATGTCTGGGTTGAAGTGCACTACTTGTTGCTAACGTCGGTTCATGACTTGCTCTGAGACGCATCAGAGTGACACAATGTGACAATGAATATGGGGCCCAACCGCTATTACCCGTGACTGCGCCGAAATGAATTCTGCAATGCTGCCATCTGTCCACCGGCCACGCCAAGCGCGAGTTATCGACGAACTCTGCGCGCCAACCTTGCCCCAATCTGGTCTCCACCACGTCTGTGATCCTCCTCATCTGACGTCTTTCTTCTCAAGGCCCCAACCCGCCGTTGTTCCGTTCCAAACATTTCGGCCCACCACCTCGCCTCCACTGGCCTCCAATGATACATCCACCAGATCTCACGAGACGTACCCGTCAACTGTGTTTTGTTGAAGACGATGAACCGTTGGAATTCCCACCCGTCCGGTCCTCATCGGGCCACCGCCAGGCCCCCATCCAACCTCCGCCAAGTCTGACATGATCCGCGCATGGCTCCTTTCATTTGCCATCCCCCTACCCGGCCGGTATTCCGCCGAGGAAGCGACCCCAGC